ATAAAGGGATTCTTCACCTGCAGTGGTCATCAGTGATTCTTTGCATGTCAAAGCATCATCACTTGCTGACTTCTGCAAAATCTACAGTTCACCTTGTTGGTCCAATGGCTGGTGCACTTCAGATCATTGATAATCAGAAGGGCGGTCAAATTGCATACTGCAATGACTATTTAGAAGAAAATGACATGGAGAGCATCAGTGACAATGAGGAAGAGGCATCAAAAGGCAATGTTGAAGATGATTGTTAAACCATCTTTTTGAGGACTAATGAAACCAAATAGCCCTTCTCAGGGCCACCAAATGAATGCATATTATGAAACTTAAATCCAATTTTTAAAAAGTGGTTGGGCGGGGGGCTTTTAGAAGGGGGGCTTTTGACCTAGTGGGCTTTTGGCAAGGGAGGCTTTCCGGGGAGCTTTAGACCTAGGGGGGGGGGGGGGCCTTTGGTTGGGTACCCAGGAAGACCCCAGTGAAGGAGCTTCCTCATCTCTTGACTATGATTTTGATTAAAAAGCAGTCTACAGACATCCTTCATTTTGAAGAATCCTTGCTCTCTTTTTTTTTTATTTTCATCTATTTTACATCTGTGCTTGGATTTTTGATTTATGTAGAAATTCCTTCTACTCTCTTCTTCACTATTTATTTTGAATAATGTCATTTTGCCATCAAATTAAACAATAAGCCATTTTGAAAAAAAAGCAACATATACAATTATACAGTATTCACGGTGTCCCCTTGATTATTTGTTCTTGGCTAACAACTTGCTGATTTTCATTTTTTGTTTCTGCGCCTTTTGGATTCTGTTCATGCTTGCAATATATTCTGCTTAATGTAGAGTAAACTTCTGAAGATATGAACACAACGATTTTTGAGGTTTTGTCCAGGAATTGGATTATGGTATATTTTCCAGTAAAATTCAGTTGGAGAATATTGAACAATGTTGCTCATGGATCTAGGAAAAAAATGAAGAAGAGGCAAGCTACTCTACTTTTTACTGTAATGTGATCCTAGGAAACAAAGAACATGGGTCTTAAAATCTGCATTGATGTTTTCTGATGGTTACTCCCTGAAATCTTGATCAACCCTTGGATGGCAATAATATGGCTTCCTGGGCAGAAAGTTGGTATTTATTTTTCCAGGAAAGGTAACTGAAATGCACCCAGGTTTAGAAGGTCAAAGATCAAAAAAATGTAGGTATTCATCATAATTTTGTCTCCAGAAACCCTAGTGATAATCATATGCAAATAATGCATGATGGATGAGGTTTTTTTATTGTTGAGGCACGAATTTTGGAAGGATAAAAAAATACTGTACAAATTTAATCTAGAAAAATTATTCCAGAAAGGAAAAGTACGTACCCAAGAAAACTTTTACAGAGTTGTGATCCTCTTTTTATAAAAGATGGTCCCCCTTTTTGTTTGGGGAAAGAGTTGTAGAAAATTTCCTCAGAGGGTTCTGAAAAGACCTTGTCTATACGGTTTCTAGGAGAAATCAGTGAGTAGACAACTTGGCAGGTGCGCAACCTGCCAAAATAAGCGCAGATGTGTTTTCAGCACACAGAACCGGAAATGCACACACTCACAACAATTGTTCACAATATTGTCGAAAAGATTTCTTTCTTGCCAATTTTTAGAACTTTCAATTCGGAATTCCTTGCACAAAGTGTTGCAGTGACGGCGTTTTTCAGTCTGATGATTGGCGCTCCAAACTGTCCGCTATTTATGTGTTTCTTGTCTTTTGGTTCAGTCCAGGGGCTTTCAGGCCCCAACGTCAAGGACTTCCGCCGGATCCCGGTAAATTCGGCCCAACTGTTGAGCGGGCTAATTTATCAGGACACAGCAATTTGGAACAGAAATTTTTTGTTCCCTGAAAACTTGGATTTTTGTGATGAGCTTAAAAAACCTTGAAAGGACCGGTGAGAAGAGGATATCCCTCTTCTTGGTACAAATTTGACACGGGTCTTTGCCTTTTTGTTTTTCTGGGTGCCGACACTCCAAGCATCAAATTCTCCTCGTATTCTGGGGTAATTCAGTCCTCATAAAACAGAGGAAACCCCGTCATTTTTCAGGGGGGTTATCTCTTTCGGGTGGCTTAACTGCCGCCAGATGTCTTTTGCCATTTGTCTTTTGGCACGCCGATCAGCGCGCCGTCTTTTTAGAAATATAATCCCAAATTTTGAACTTCGGGAAATGGTCAGCAATTTAGCGTCAAAAACATGACACGAGGGTTGTCTCGGCGATAATTCTTCACAAATACAGTATTGAACTTAATCCTTGGTTCAAAAACGTGATTTTAAAAATTGTCAGTGCTGATGGACAAAAATTTTTTCCAAAAATAGCCTGTCCTTTCCACACAAGGGTTAACCAGAAAAAATTCCCCAACTGAATGTTCATCATCACATGTCATTGATTGATGATCAAAGGAGTGTCAAAATCTAAAAATTATCCACTTTCTGGGAGAACATGTTTTGCACAGCTGTACATTACATGGTGATTCCATCCATGTTTAGCTATTAGCACGAAAACGGCCAATGACAGCCTGATCCAGCATAGGGAAAGAAGAAGTTCTAAAAATATTTTAGCATTTATATTCGGTGAAGTTGAAAAAAATAACCATGCTTACCTTGCAGTTCAGACTTTCGGTCCGCATAAGACAAAGTCGTTTGCTTTTCATCCTTGAAAATCTCAGCATTCGTTTCAAAATTAAATACGAGCACCCCAATAAAAACCGACGCCCAAAACAGCGTCCACGCCATTTTGAAAGGGATTTTTATTTTCACTTTATTCTTCCATCATTCGATCGTTTGACGTATAATATTCCGCTGTTTTCAAAAATTCAACTGCCGTTAAAGTTCCGCGAATATTTTTGAAAGTTGTATATTCTGATTAAATTTGTTGAACAAACTTTTTTCCGCCGCTGATGCTGTAGATTTTGGTTGATTAATTCCGTCTCACTTGCATATCCAACAAAAGAGCCGACCATCAAACACAAAAAAAAATCTGGAGCTGTGGATGTTTGAGCAGAAATTTGCACTGGCGCCAATCCTTAAGCAGTTTCTTTTTTTCATGTGTTGTAAGTCTTTATCGTTGATATGTTCAATTTTGTGTCAATTCCTCCCATTTCACGTCCTGCGTGGACGATTCCACGAAATTGGCGAGGGTCTTCTTGGTCGTTGTTTGATTTGAATTTTGCGCAATGTCGATCTGCAGGTGGGTTTTGCTACTGGACTGAGGTTGGATTCCGTTGTTCTGGAATTTCTCGTTCCGGCTGAACGAGGTCAATTTGCATTCCTTATTCGATGCGCTTTTGGAGTTGGAACTCTTCGGATTATTGTCCGCAGTTCTTTTCTTCGGTATTTCCTTGTTGGGACGGACTTCTGCAAAGATAAAACATATTTTATTGGAAAAACGATTACCACAAGTAATCATTCTGCTGAAAAAAAAATACTGACGTGACAGTGATTGATACAAGGTATGCGTTATTTTTTTCAACAAGAGTTTATTATAGCGATTGTTTGTATTGCTCAAATTTTTAGCAGATTCGTGGACAAAAAAGATGCATCAAATTTTGGAGAATTAAATTTAGAATTTGTCATTGATAATTTCTCGGAATGGCCAATCGAAAATATGTGTCATTTTTTCTAAAGCAAATTGAAAACTTTCAGTGTACAGTACTGTACTTTCAAACCTAAGTTAGATGAGAACCAGACATCAATTAATACAGTAATACAAATACCAAAAATAAATAAATATATTTTTGAAATATCATAATACGTGTTGAAGGCTGTTCTGGCCAATTTCTTAAATGGATTCTGTCAGTTTGAAACAACTTTAACGAGACACTCTTCACTACAGACTTTACTGCGGTCTTGCGCATGATAGAATTGAAATAATTTCACTATACTTTCATTTACGCACATTATGCAAACTCTTGCTGAAAATTGTATTCAAATACTCTGTAAAATTTCACTTGGAACAAAAGACAAGTTGCATTCCTGTATAATGCGCGCACAATTTTGTCTGTGGTCGAGATTGGAAAAAAAATTCCTGTGATACCTCAGTATACACTCATTATTTTATGTTTCAAAAATTGTATGCAAGTACTCTGTTGTCCTACACAGAAGCTTTAAGTAATAAAGACACTTCTATCTTGTGCCAAGTCTCAATGACATAACCAACTGTGTATAGTCTGTAGACTACAGTATTTTAATGCATAATTTTGCTGCTACTTTTTTCATGGCATTCTACAGCAAATACACTAAGTACTCAGGTGAATTGAGGCACAATTAGCTATCCATCTGAGCATCACTTTATTCCATGGACAAAACATTTTGCATATGTAGCCTAACTATTTAGGTATACTCCACTTTGAGCAGCAGGGCTTCTAACCTCTGCATATATTTGGGAATTTGAGGTAATTTTATAAATTCCTGTTCATTATCTTGGGTGAAAGAGATGATCACATGATTATATGCTGGAGAGACCAGTTCTTCTCAGAAACAATGAGTATTCTCATTTTAAGATGCACTGCTTAAAAATGATCAAGTACCTTGAAGTACTTGATCATTTTTAAGCAGTGCATCTTAAAATGAGAATACTGATATTGCTTTGACAAATGCATTAACCCTTGGGTGGCAGAGCCAGGATTCATCCCAAATATTTTGTGTGACAATAAATGTAAAAACCAAGAAAACAAGAATGAATATAGAAGAGCTGAGGTCCAGAAAAATTGCAAATGGTTTTAGCATTCCTGCAAAAAAATGTTCAGGCTAAAAATTTCCTGATCTAGGGTGGCATTTTCTACATTCCTGCTATAGGATCAGCATTGAGGGCTTTTGAGTACAATGCCTTTCTTTGTCTTGTATTTTTCCAGACTTTGGATATGCTCAGCAAAATCTGCATTTTTGTGACTTTCAGTCAGAACAAAACACACAAGTGTGCAAAAATATCCTGGCACTGCTGCAGGATGAAATTTGACATGCACCTGTCCAAGGGCTGTATAGCAAGGTTGCACCATCCTGAATTAATGAAGAAGGACTGGAATTCAGAACCCAACTGATAATGGGGTTCAGGAAGGTTAGAAAACTATATTTGTGCAATCTGACAACAATTGTGATTTAGACAATGCCTTGCAATTTGACCTCCCAAAATTTGACCATCTTGCAATTCAATGGTCAAATTTGCAGTAAGGTTGACTTTCAATTTGACCTCTGCCCCAGAATTGAAGCTGCTTTGACCACTTTTTCCATGTTTTTTTGCTAATGTATCTTTATTTTACAATGTGCCTAGCAATTCATCTGCTTTGCAATTTGACCACAGTACATCAAAGGATTAGGGACAGATTGAAAGGTACCACCTGTATGAACAAGACATCCTTAATTAATGCTGTAAATATAAAGAGGAAATACCTGTAAATTTAAATCAATTCCACTGTGTTCAATTTTCTTGTAGCAAATATTGCACAAAAGTCCACATTGGTGAGGGATATACACGTCATGTGGAAGAACATGACTTTAACTGTGCTGAACAAGGTTAATATATTTTTTTAATTTTGTTGAAGAACTGAGAGAAGTATTCCCAGGAACATTTGCAAAGTTTGAAGGCCAACAACAAACAGGAAACTGCATGTGAAAATCGCAAAATTCACTCTGTGCATTTGTCTGAGCAGCATAGGTTTTTGAAAAAAGCAGATTCCCCATCCCGAAAATAGCAAAATCAACCTCAAATTTCTCTGAATAATGCTTGATTTCGTATCTGTCCGTGGCAAAATTGAGAAAATGTGAGAAATTTTTGTCCGACATACCTTGATTTTGGCGTTTCAAGATCCCGGATTTCCCGCATTGCACCCTCAGCAGAATTTTCGCATTCGAGCTCGACTCCGTATTTGTGCCATCATTCAACTTTTCAAGTCTTTTCACTACCTTCATATTATCCTGGGATTTCGCCGCTGGTTCCCAAGTGATTCCAATCCCTGGCAATTGAACCATTTTCGTGTCATTTTCCCCAGCATCCTCTTCACACTTCTGCTGCTTCTTCTCAGATGACTCAGCAGCAGAAACCTTGTTTTTCCCTGAAAGTGGGCTTTTTGACCTCTTTCCCGGCGGGGTTTTCGTACAGAGCTGTTTGGGCGGCACCTTGGTCGAAATTAAATTCGCCCTCGAAATGGCAACGATCGACGAGAGTCTGTTCTTTAGTTCCTCCGCAAAAATTGCCAGCTGATCGAAATTAGACGAGGCGTTATTTTGTTTGACTTTTTCTGCTGCTGCTTGTGATTCCGGAGATTCCGTGCTGATGTCTTGGTGATTATATTTCGTTGACAATAGTAAAATCGTTGGACGCTTTTCTGTGCTCGACCCGACGTGATGCTTTTTGCTGGGCTTCGATTCCTGGATTCTGCTGGGATTTATCGGGTCATCGGCGAATTCGTAGTTACCCGGGTCGAATTCCTCGCCGATGACCTTGGTTTTGAGACGATTCATGGCTGCGATTTTCTCGTTTTGCAACAAAAGTGTGCGGACGTGATTGTCTATGAAGGAGTCAATGTCGAATTTGAGTCTCTGAACCAAAAGGTCCGTCAGACTGGACCTGGCCCCGGGATGAATGCTTTGGTCCAGCACGAAAATAAGGGCTTCTTGAAGTTTGTTGGGCAATGGACCCCAGTTATCGTGGCCAGTGTCGTATTCGGGTGCAGATGGTGTGAAGCTCGTGTATCTGCGTCTGTATCCATCTTTGAACAATAACTTAATCATCAATTATTTGAAAAAAAAAACTTGTTGGTGTAAGTGAAAAAAAACTTGAGAGAAAACCCAGAACTGCAGAATGCTCCAGTGGAAAACAGGAAAATATTGGCTGAAAAAATGTCTCCTTGGGTGGCATTACTTCATTCCTAGCATAGGATCAAGTCTTCTGCAGCTAATTATGATTTTTATTTATTTGGTGTGCTTTCAAGATTGGGTGAGAAAAAAACCAATGCTACATTGTGTGCATGGGGTAATGCTGGGAAAATTACTGGCATTTTTATTTACAACTGGAAAGGTGTGTATATTGCAACACACACCTGCTTTGCTCCCAAATTAACACTTTTGTGGCAGAGTCCTGATATTTTTTCAAAATTTTGTGCCACTGATGGGCACTGGAAATTTAAAAAAAACTACATTCTTACCAAGGGCTGAGTCAGGGAAAAGTCCAAGATTTTTTTCTAATTGTGCAGAAAATTTTCAATGAAAATTTAAAAAAATCCCTTGCTGGGTGAAGTTTTTCCCTCCATTCCTGGCATGAGATTTGCATGGGAAAATCTTGGAAACGAAAAATATTTGCCTCTTAGATTTTTCTTGACTTAGGCCTCCTCAACCTGGGCACATTTTGGTAACCTTGGGTCAAACTGGAATGCCCCCCCCCCCCCCCCTGGAAAAAATTCGAAAGCCGCCATGCACTGAGAAAGAACCCTCCACCATCCAAGGGTTAAAAGATTAATTTTATCTTTTGCAGAGTGCAAAGGTTCTTGTCTAGCCTACAGCAGAGTCAGGATTTTTCCAGAGGGCTGGGCATTTCAGTTTGACCAAAGTTCACCCCCAGGATGGGAAAACTGCCCAGGTTAGAAAAAATCTGAGTGGAGAACATCTCATTTTACTGAGAAATACCAATGTTCATTCTGTGCCAGTAATGTTGGAAAAAAAATGCCACTGGCCATGAAGTGAGGATTTTTTTCAAGCAGAATGTTTTGCAGAATTGTGGAAGAATTTGGACTTTTCCTCAACTTGGGTCTTGCTCATTCATGAATGCAATTTTCCATTCATTTTCAGTCCTAATGGGCACAACATTTTGTAAAAATATCCAGACTTTGCTGCACAAGGGCTAAGCTTGAAAGCCTGGACCCCAGCTAAGAGGTCACTAAAAAAAAAGTTGGGATTGGGAAAAATTCCTGGGTACAATCTGACCTTTTCCATCCCACACTCCTTGCACTATTGTAGGCCTTTGCAAACCAGAATGAATTTCAATTACCTTCAGTCGAGCTGGAATTTACCTGCTTATGGAAAAATCTCAAATTTTCAATGGGATGGAAAGCAACCCACCACCGTCCAAGAGTTTAGGTGTCATTTAAGTTTCAATTCCCACTTTTGAAATAAGACCTTGGAGGTATACAAATATATAGTTTTCAAAATCTTTCGATAATTTTCTTTCTAATGCATTTTTCAAGAGATTACGTCACCATGAAGGTAATTTCGAGAACAATAAAACATACTGTCAAACACCTTGATTTCGTACCACCCTTGCATACTTTTAAAACTCCCCTCTATTTTTTTCTTGATCATCCACTCAATTCTACGGATGAATTCTGATAATTTGTGTTGATTGAATGCCAATCTTTATTTCATTGAACTTGAGGTAGGTGTTGCATGAATCACTTACCCGTTGAAGCAAACCTGAAACAAATTAAAAGGTACACTAATTTGATATCCCTGCTTATATTTTAATTTCGGATGATATTGAAAACTCAGGCAACCGCTTCACAGTAGCAAGTGAGAGTACATTTTTAGGTATATATCTTGTTTTCATCAATCTGAAGTGAAAATATCCTAACAATACATTTCCCTATCGAAGTTCAGACTTTCGAAGCCATTTTGCCTAAGTACCAAGCAATTGAAAATCAGAAATTTATGGAAACACATACTACAGTCAGCCCTTGATTTACTGCCACACTTGCATATAGTGCCACTAATTTCCTTGTTACAGATATCCCTCTATTATCTTCCTGAGGAGAACCTTGATTCAGTTTCAATGAACTTTGTGAAATCTCTCTCCTGTTTGGAAAAATTGGGCAGAAATTGGAGTAAACCAGGTATTTTTCCTAGGATATTATTGGATTATAAGACTTTTGACTGAGAATCACATCCCCTTGCTTACATAAAAATTGGGATAGATGTGGAAAAGCAATTTTTTAATTTATGTACATTCCTAAAAAATATTTCTTGTTGAATTTTACCCTCCGTAATTGAAAATAAAAGAGTGAAAGCTCTTGCAGAAACCTTGGTAATTCCTTCATGTTTGCACTTTATATAAAACTAACTCAAATGCACAAAACATCTTGAGAAGCAGCTGCAATCTTTTCCAAGATGTCATAGATTAAACCTCTACTACATTCTGCCATATGGATGCATATTCTGAAATGAAACAAAAAAGTACTTTTGAGCTTTAAAAATTATTCATTTTTTTTCATCTCTCATATAAAAGACCCTGATTGGCCCAACATTTCTGAAAAGAAGCATTATTTTCATATAATGGAAACCCGGAACTTCACCTCTCTCTCATACAATATACTGTATACCCTGGGCTTAATCCCAACCTTGCTTAGCCCTTCTGCAGCAGAGTTGGACTTTTTTGTAGTTTTGGTTGCACTCAAGAGTGAAATAAAAAAATCTCTAACAGTGAATGTGTGCAGGGCAAAGTCAGGGAAAGTCCAAGGATTTTTTTTTTAATTTCCCACAGAAAAAATTTTGCCTGAAAATGAAAAAATGAAAACTTCAACTCTCTTTTTCCCCTGGCTTTGTGTTGTTTCCCCATTCAAAGATTAAATTCAAGCTTGAAAGCCAGGAGTCCAAGTTAGAGGTCAATACCAAAAAAGTCCGACTCAGAACTTTCCCAGCATTTCTTTATTCTTGGATAGAATCCAACTTTGCCCTCCCCCACCTGGAAGGGGTTGCATAACCTTGTGCAAAAATATTCTGCAGGCCCATCTGGAAATAGTCCTAATCTGCCCTGGGATGGAAAGGAGACTGCCGCCATCTAAGGGTTAGTGCCCAAAAAATGTGCCAGAAGAAACCCTGCCACTAAATTGGGGTTCGACTGCACAGCAAATTTTTCAATGATTTGAAGAATCTCACCTGGAACATGGTACCTGGTGTGAAGAACGTGAAAACCGAAACATTGGATGTCCAATAAGAAAATTACTGTGTAAACAAAATATGAAAATTGAGACTTGCCCAACCTTGTCACACCCAACATTTTGGGAACTGAATAAGACTTCATGGACCCGCGAAATCGGAAGTCAATCGTTTGAAGTGCTGCTTGAATCAACGATCCGAAAAAAGCCTATATTCAAGATGCTTCTCTTATTGTCAATAAACTGTTCTGATTTCGCGAGAGAAAAAAATCTCATCCGACTATAAAGAGAGCAAAAAGTATTCCAAGGCGCCTTTGGAATTTACATAAGAATATTTGGACTCATTTTAGGGCAAACAAAAGACTTGCACTCTTGATTCAAATTTCCCCATGGCGTCTTCTTTAAATAGAAAACCCTGTGATAATGTCGATCGAATATTCAATAACAGGGGAACATTTCTACAAAATTCATCATTATATCCATTTCGTATGCTTTGATGATCTTTGAAGGAAATAAATTTAACAGTTCATTTCCTTGCTGAATTAGAAAAAGAAGATCCTTAGTTTTTTTGGATCCAAACAATTTGAATGAGGAGCTTTTCATTTTTAAAAAAATATAAAAAAGTAAAATATATGCTTCACAGAAATGTTGCTCTGTAAATTTACAATAGCCAGACTTTTGGAGACGTCGATGAGAGTTCTCGAAACAAATTCTTCCTTTCAATTTGCTCTAAATATTCACAAAGAAAGGCAAAAAAATTTCCAAATTGGGGCACAATTCGGGAAAATGGCAGCTAAAAACGTTTGGATTCCCTGTCCTCAACAAAGGTTCATTTATATTCAAATGAATCGCATTAAATTCATAAAAATATTGGAACTATTAATTTTGATTAGATTTTTTGGACGAGCAAGTGTGTTCTCTTCTGTGACTCTGATGATTTATAGCAAAGTTCTGGTTTTCATTTCAGAAATCATCTGGATATAGAGGGGAAAAAACGCCAGAAGACACCAAAAAGAAAAATCCAGGTATTTTAGTAGATTCAATAGTGATCCAACACATTTTCTTTCATTTTTTCAGTATTAAAGTCATTCAAGAAAATACAGTATTTTCTTCTGGTTTATGACCTTTGCTTGGCAAGAGTTTCAAAATCTTGAATATTTTTCCTTCATTTTTAACTCTTTTCAAACATGACTTGACATGTGAATAAGCAAATTTTCTCTTGGGCTGGTTAAGGACAACAAAGGTGGAAGAAATAAAAATGTGGTGGTCAGCCATTAAGTGGCTGGGTCCTCCTTCATGGAGTCCCTGATAACCCTATTCATTGGGGCTCAAAAGACAGGAGGGCGCAGGTACAGACATGGCATTCCCAACAAGCCTCTATACAGTATACACAGACTTAGAAATCAATTCATAGTACACACACACACACAGATTCAAAATGTACAGTCAGGCAGTTCACTCCAAAGAGTCAAAACAGACAGAACCAGAAGATCCTCCCTTTGGAAGGCAAGAGCTTCAATTGAAGTCTTCCTGCCAATCAAAATTGTTTCCTCTCCCTTCTTTCAGCAGGTTTGCCAACAGTTTGCCACATTGCAGGAAACAGGCTGTGCAGTAGGATATCTGCTGCCAAGTCATGCACTGACAAATTCCTTTGCACATGTGGCGCCCTCTTGCATCAAACCACTTCATCACCTAAAGAATTTTTTTACTTATTCTTTCTTGAAGAGTTTTCTCCAAGTGTATAAACGTGAGTGCGGTTTTCTAATGACTTTTCTTCACAAGTGTAAACTTTGTTATCCTCAGTTGTAAGAATGTATCCAACTGAATACAAACGTATTGAAAACCTTGGCAGAGCAATTTACTCCGTTCTGATATTACCCACCAGGAAAACATTTGTCAAGAAGTATTATTTTTGCGGCCAGGGCAACAAGACTTGAGGGCAAATGTATACATTTCCCTATTCCAAGGTATGCAACTGATACCAGGCCAAAAATAAATACTGGAGGATTAATCTGACACTCACTGATAGATTCAGGGTTTCAGACAAGAAAAGTACATAAACTGCATGCACAAATGTGATTGGAACCAGGATATGGTTGAACTGCGAATGACCAGTGACATGGGGCAGATTTGCTCCATTGAGTAACACTGTTGCTAACCAGGCTTGGAGACACTACATCAAGGAAGAACCACACCAAGAACAATGTACAGTGGCCCCCCGCCTAACAGACCTCCAGTGCAAGGGATTTTTGCTGAACAGACCAGCTCTGCAAGCAGTTTTTCCTCCCGCCCAACAGACNCTGCAAGCAGTTTTTCCTCCTGCCCAACAGACAAAATCCACCAAACAGACTTCTTTTGGTTTAAAATTAGTGTTGAAAATTGGAATTTTTAATTTTTTATGTAATTGAATTTGTGTAAAGGACTTTTTGTTTAACAGACTTGTCCCTTGCACAAATCAAGTCCATTAGACAGGGGTTGACTGTATTGTTAACATATTGCAGGACACACTTCCAAGTTTAGGCTGACAACTTATAGAAATTATTCAACTAATGTAGGAGATGACTATTCTAACTGGAAGTTTTAATAATACATGATCCTAGTCTTATTTCATTATCTCGTGTATTTTGAGGTTTTTGAATTTCTGAGTTTTTCCATGTTCATAAATTCTGCGGAAACACACTGAGGCTCATGTTCTTCAAGTGCCAGTAATAGACCATACGTAATTGTTCCAAAAATGTCTTCGGATGCGAATTTTGGCGAAGCTGCTCACAGTGAAATGTCTGCATAAATGCCAAACCAAAATATTTCCGTTTATGGCACACACTTGTGCTCTTGCAAATTCATACTTCTGCGTGCCGTTTCTTTATATTGTTGCAATCAGTTGGTACAAAATAAGTGCAGTTTGGACAGCGCTGATTCTTTTTTTTTATCAAAAAATCACTGTAGAAACTTGAAAAGAAATACATCTGTAAATGACGAACATCCTGGTGTGACCCTTCTTGGATTTTTTAGGGATGATCTCTACAACTGATAGTTAGAATAATACTTGACCCATAAAATTCTAAAAAGAAATGTTCCGTGAAAATTTGTTTCTAGTCCGTCGCCCTGCAAAATTGAAAAGAATTGCTTTAAAAAAAAAGATGCCCTCCTCGGGAACCTTTTCTCAAAATATTGATCACTGAAAAATCCGGATTACCCTAGCCAGTCAACGTATTCCCATTGTATTTCATTTCTGTACCTTGGTGCCATTTAAGGAAAATCGCAAAAAAAATCGAAGTACAGTATTAATTTCCGACGCAAAAACAGACTTTTGCCGTCCACCGAAATCAGCAGGACAAACAATTGTTTCACCTTCGATTTTTATTCGCACTATGCCGACGATAAATCAAAAAAAATCAGAAAACCCACCGGGAAAAGAAAAAAACCCTTCACCAAAATAAACAATAGAAGCATGTCTTTTTTATTGAATAAACTGCAAGAAAAATCCCGAAGCGTGGATAAACATACGGTATATAGTGAAACCCCGAAACTTGATGAAACCATGATCAAGATAATGTCAACATTTCTGGCCTTGAAGAAAACGCCGTTTCTATTAGCGTACAGCCAGTTCAAAATCCCCATCACCATAAGAAGAAAAATAAGTAAAATGTGTGTGTAAAAGTTCTGAGTAAAACTTGGACAAAATTCCAGGAGAAAATAGATTATTGAACACTTGGGAAGATTGTGAAAATGTACCACCACCATTGATGTGCCAGAAAAAAAGGACATGAAACTCCAGCAATTCTTTTAAAATCCTCTTCTTATTTTCCAAGTGCTGAAATATGCATTTAAAATTCCCAGTGCAGTGTCTTTATTGACATATTTATAATTTGACATCTGATGCCACACCAGCAGAAGCAGGAGCTGCTGAAGAAGCTGGATTATTGTTATTGCTGCTTTGTCCAGCTGCAGCATTAATATTGGCATTAGCAGCAGCATTCCCAGTTGTTAGTCCAGCACCTGGTGCAGGAACCAGAGTTGTTTGAGCAGCATCAGTCTTGTTGGCAATGCTGTGGTCTCCAGCTGTGCCAGCCAAGTGCAGTCCAATATCAGAAGGTGCATTCAGGCCTGATGATGGTGCTGAGGATGCTGCTGGTCCAGCTGATCCCAAAACAGCTGCTGACCCACTGCTGATTGCTGATGCAATGCTGGAATTGGTGCTAACATCTAACAAAGATATCATAAACTCAGTTAACCCTTTGGTGGTGATGCTGTCATTATTTTTCGCAGGAATTTCTCACTAGACATTGAAAGAAAAGTTTCACTGACCAATTTAGCCTAAGTTGGGAACTATCCATGTATATTCTTCTAACAGTGCAAAGTGGAAAAAAATAAAGATTCCCCAACTGAGTTATTTACAGCCTTCAGCTATGGAATTAACTTATTGGGAGGGGGGGGGGGGGTCAGCCAGAATTTTGGAATTTTCAAAGCTTTCCTCTCCTGGTTTATCTAAATATCTCCTGGCATATGAAGCCACTATGACCAAGTGCAATTTTGATGACCTGTGGTCAAACCAGAATGTACTTGTCTGCAGAAAAAACCTGGTACCTCCAAGCAATCAAAAAGAATCCAAATGCTGCTGAAGGGTTCCAAGTACAGTACATTGCACCCCTTAAAAAAAAGAATTATAGCTGTAAGAGCTTATGGTGTTTGGATGCATAATTTTTAAAATATAATGAATGCCACACTCCAAGGCATATTTTGGCTTTAGTATAGGTCATAATGATGAGCTGGGAATTATGTTTGCCACCTATCCTGTTAAAATGCTCTATTTTATGAATGAATGAATGAATGAACAGAAAACTTTATTTGCCACTTTTCAGCATTCACAAGGCACAACCAAAACTCCCGCATCCAAATCCCTATTCTATGTAATGACATTTCAAATTTTGTTTAATGAATTATTATTCAACATTTTTATCTTAGTTTACCAGAACATGGGTGAAGATTTTATGATCAAATTCCATGCCAGCCAATCAAAGTTCTCCTTACTGATGCAACAGAGGCAGAATCTCCAGATGAGGGTGCTTGATGGTACTCAAGATATGGTATAAATGAGTGAAGTAATTAAACATGGTAATCTGGTAAGGATGGAAACAGTTTAAACCAGAGACATTTATATTCAAAAATAACAATTTTTTTCATACATAGCTTCATTCTTTCAAGAGTTAAAATATGTTGAACTGCTTTAACATATCAGTTAATTTTCATTCAAAAACTTCAAAAATGATCAATGAATGCAATAAAATTTATCAAACATTTTTTTCACCTCATGGTTGGTATTTTGCAAAGCCCCATCAGCAGCCTAGCTCTCACCATAAGGGAAACTATTAAAAAGGGGGCTCTAGCTTTGATCATTATCTTAAGGAACTATTTATACAAACATATCTTCAATGAATGCAATGGCTGTGCATTACCATTCAAACTTTTTTTTCAACTCAAAGAATTAAAAAAATGGAATGGCCGACAGGAACTGCTCAATTTTTTGAGAAGCTGACATTTGATCAAGCGTATTCATCCATTTCATCTATTTTTCAATTGTGTTTCATTCAAAACTAAAAACTTTTTCTCACATGGTTAAATATTTATGTTCAGGCAAAGCTAGTGATTTGCTGCGCGTTATTAAAAAATGCAAAGCATTTTCTTTCCATGTGTGAGATGTTCAAATTTGTCTTTGGTCTTCTACACTTGAAACCTTGGTTATACACTGTAATTTGAAAATGGTCACTAAATGCTTGAGGAAATTCCAATAGAATCAGATACTGTAATGCATCTGAAGTGGTGAATGAAACATTATATTTCTGGCAGAATGTAGACTCAATATTTGACAAACGTGTGTGTTGATCTTTTCCTTCAGTAATAGTTTTGTGTCACCTCAAACCTCCAATGAATCACAGAATCTTCATGATTACATGTGTTTATGAGATTCCTATTGAACAGTTTACTGAATGTGGCCTGGGAGTGCTGTGACTAATGGAGTAACATTTTGTTACAGCAAAGCTGATAAGAAAGTTCAATTAAGAAATAACTGTTGTAAGAAGATTTGGATAACATTGTCACTGTAGGGCAGGGATTTGGAGAGAATGTGTTTGTCATCCGATTTCTTTTAGCAATAAGATCCTCTTGCAGCAGAGAAACGTTTGTGTTCCACATCAAAGAACTCACAACTACTGAATTGAGCACAGTAAAAGATTACCAATGGACCTTCGCCAAATACCTAATCAATACAAATTCTGCTTCAACCAGCTGCTGAAATTGTAGTTTTGTGATGTGAGCTTTACAAAAATACTGTTTTGGACAGACTCACTATTTTGGACAGAGAGTCATCCAAGGGTACAAAAGCAATCATCAATCCTTTGATCACATGGTAATCAGCACCCATGTATAAAAACCTTTATTTCTCATTGAGAGGATCAGGGGAGAACAAGTGGAAAGGGTCATTAAATTTTAGGATCAACAATTACAATCATGTGATCTGACCAACCAATCCAGCCATCATTTGACCATTAACTCTTGCAGCCAAATGACAATTAAAACTATGAGAAGGAACTTTTCTCAAAAGAGTTGAGTCCTTTAACAAGACTGTCCAATTTGGACATCTGCACATCACTCAAATCCTTTCTCTGGGATTCAATGGATCTATGACACCAGTGTTCCTTTGACATCCTTTTCTTTTTGAGTCGAAATTTTATGTTATCTCCAATGTCTCCCATCAAAAAATATTTTTCTGAGATGGTGATTTTTCCCTTTTGGAAGCACAGATTGAAGCACTTGGATTCAACATTTGCATCTTCACCATATACCATAAATTCTCTTTTGAATGCCCCCAGCATTCATTTAAAATAATAAAAGTTTCTCCTGGTGTTTATTAGAGACTGGCCTCTAATATTCTCAAAAGTCACAACCACCCAAAAGGAGAAAAAGAAGAAAAAAGAGAAGAAACTTGGGATAAATATAGGTTTAAAATATTAAATACCTTATGAATGCATGTTTTTTTGGAAGATGTGAGATGAATGGTTTACAAATTGATAGTAATAAATGAAGGGGTTCTTTCTTTAGCACTTAATACATGGGTCAGATTTTTCGATTTATTTCACCCCCTCCCCTGTCCTTCTTTGACCCGCCTTCTATATACTGTATTAGAGACTGTCCCATGTTGATTGCTTATTCAAGCTTTTCTGAAACCTGGTCTTCATTACAGACATGCCTCAATTGCAGACCTGAGATTGACATAGGGAAAATACGGTATCTATATAGTCTTATTTGCAATATTTCGAGTACTTGAATTAATTCATTCAAAATGAACAAAACCCCCCATATGATAGCCGTACCCCCAGAACCTGATGCTGAAGAACCCATGATCCCAGAAGATGAGGGTCTTCTGTCACTCAGAAAAGCACCTGCTGATGATGAGCCAGACAGGTTCCTTGGCGGCAACTTGGGACTGATCTTGCCACTCAGGCCAACGGGGGATCCTCCAGCAGACATGAGACCCCCTGCAGAGGATCCCAAGGATGCTGAGGATGAACTGGGTCCCTGAGCAGCAGAAATCCCAGGTAAACCCCCTGAAGGAATGATGTTTCCAGAATGGGATCCACTTGCTGATGGAGATGAAACCATGGCTGCTGATGGGGGTAATGTAGTCATGTCTGGGGGATGTGAGACCAGCCCTCCAGCTGCTACATTTGAGCCTCCACCAGGTGCTGCTATTTGAAAAAATATTAGGAAAAAATGAATAGAATATAAATTTGTAATTCTCCTCATGGATGATAGAATTCATTTTTCTCACATGTCAAACAAAAGGATCACTTATGATATAATTGGATTGGTGCACAAATGTTTGAGTGTGCCTACAATGCATTTTGGTACAGTTCAATCTCTCTAAGTTGAATTTCTAGGGACCAGGAAAAAATTTGACTTAGAGAAGTTTCAACTTAAATAGGTTTTCATTTTTTGACGTGTCCAGTTGAGGAAACAAACACTTTTTGTTGTGAGAAGTGAAAAAATGTGGGAAATCATAAATGAGGATATTCTGGGGTACACCTTGCTGAACTTGGAGGCAGGGGTTCATTTGCTATACACAGTATTTGTCTTTCAATTCCTTTCAAGATGCATCGGATTATTTGTTTTAATCATTATATATTTTGTATTTCAAGAAAATAATGACCAGAAGGCCAAAGGAAATTCAACTTACAGAGGTTTTATAAATAAAGACTTCAAGTTAGGGATTTTGTATGCATGATACTAAGGGAATTCAGACAGGGACTTGAAAAATATTCAACTTTGGGAGGAATTTGACTTAGGGAGAAATTTGACTTAAGGAGGGATTCGACTTAAAATTGAACATCATCAAGTTCAATTTCAAGGGACTATATAGCAAACATTTTCAACTTATTAAAGAGTTCAAGAAAAAAACACATTTGACTTATAAAGAGGTATTCAACTTGAAGAGGTTTGCTTTATCAAGTTCAGCTTTACTACTCTATTGTATTCCCTCATCTACGCACTTCCTTTTCTATTCTGGATGACAATTGAGTGCTTGTGTTGGGGACTGAGGGCACACACTTGCTATTGAATTAATAAACCAGAACCCACTTCTGGTAAACTGGTGCTGGGCTTGTGGAGCCTCACAGCACCAGAGAACTTGCCCCCAAACCTTCAAAACTTGCATGACCATGCTGCACATTGTCTTCAATTTAATAAATGGCCAATCAGAAAGCAGCAAAGTATCACAACCTTCATCAACTGCAAGTTTGACAAAAGCCTCCCTCAAGAATGCATAAAGAACGTATAAGAACCAGGAATCAATGCAACATTCTCATTCCAGGATCTCATTTCTATTCTTTGCTTTCACTGCAAAATATCCAACCAATTCTCTGAGAAATTGTATGCCTTATTTATCTGGAAGAAGGTGCTGAGTTATTGATCATTCCTTTGGGATATTAATAAATATTAAATTTTGTGGAGCCTCTATAAAAAAGGCTAAAATTGAAGCCAGTCCCAGGCAGATAGTGGTGTTTTACCCTTGAAATCTCTTTGTTTGGGGAAATCCCTATGAGAGCATGCAAGCAAGTGCATTATTGATGACTTGCAAACACTGTTCCTCAATTGCTCTCATGGAATTTTTGAAAATTTCAGCATAAACATATTAGCATATGAATGCACGAAGTCTTCATCCATTCCTTGCACTTAATTCACTGAATGCAATTGATGCAGGAAAAGTCAAATATTTCCGATTTTTTTGCTACCCTTCACGCAAATTTCAAGAATAACCGCATCTGCGAAATTTATCTTAGCATCATATTTAGACGGTCAAGCAAAAAATGAAATAATGCAGGATTTCCCTTTTCGAAAAAGAGCGTGGGAGGAATTCATGTAAAAAGTATTTGTATGTCTCGAAATTCGTCCTAATTTTGTATTTCGGAACCAATTGACTTTCTCACGTCCTTGTTCAAATACAGTATACATTTACTTTTAAATGAAATTATCCCAAGGGTTACACCATGAATTTGATTTTAGTCCGAAAATGGGTCCACGATAAAAATATGTCCTGCGTTTCCGATATAAAATTTCAAATCGTCGAAAACTAAGTTCAAATATATATATATTGAAAAATTTTTAGAAGCCATTCTAAAGGACAAAATTGAATATTCATTGGACTGATAGCCCACATTAAGTTGAGAATTCAACCTTTTAACCGTGTTGAGAAATTCAAAACGCTTTCAAAATTTCGAAAAAACGCTGAAATATTTAGGAGAATTTTGTAATAATTTGAGAAAAAAAGCGTTTCATCTTTTGTAAACAAAGTTTAGCAATTATTATTACCAAAGTATATTCCATTCTTGGATCGACTCGGAATTGTGTCTGATTTTAATCACAGTATCGCGAGAAATCCACAAATTTTATGAGATTTTTTGTGGTTCTTCTGAATGAAGCTCATCAGCTGGTATTACCATCCCCTTTTGGATCTATTCGAAATTCTGACTGGTTTCAATTAAGCTAACGCAACAAATTCTAGATAAAATCCCATTTTCTTCTGTTTTATCTCAGCTATCGCTATACGAAAGTCCATTTCTTTTTTGATCAACTCGAATCATTATCTTATCTTAAATACGCTATCGAAAGAAATTCACAAACTTAATCAAAACTAACGATGAAATGATTCCACTCGGTCAAAATAAATGACAGGAAAAATGATGCAGGAATCCACGTTAGAATTTACCAAAAATTACTCAGTCCTGATCAAAATCGATGAGATGAAAGAAAAAATAATAATCATACGACAACTTGATCAAATCACAGCAGGGAAATAATTTTTGCGACTATACAAGCAGGGCAGAGACTTTCGAAGTCTGCTTGAATCTTTCGCTAAATTGAAAAAAAAAAATTCGTATTTTTCCAATTGTAAAAAAAAATAATTCGTATTTTTCCAATTGTAAAAAAAAATAATTCGTATTTTTCCAATTGTAAAAAATGAATGTATATACATGATATATATCTTTTGGAACTTGGTTTTCGACGATATCAATTTTCATCCAGAAAACTCAGGACTTATTTTTCTCGTGGACCTTTTCTTTAAACTAAAATGAAATTGATGTAGTACCTGTTGGGATAATTTCATTTAAAAGTTGAGGTATACTGCATTTGCATAAGGACGTGAGGAGTCAATTGGTTCCGAAATATAAAATTAGGAAGAATTTCGAGACATTCCAATCGAGAAAAATATATTTGAAAAAAAAAATTTATAAATTTTTTTTCTTCCGAAATTAGGAAGAATTTCGAGACATCCAAATCGAAAAAAATGTATATATAATAATTTTATTTTTTGCTTCCTCACCCGTGACTTCTTCACTCGAGCCACTCGACGCCAAGAGCAAAACCATCAGACACAACTCCAATAACTTGCCCATTTTTTCACTTCAATCCCCGACGCCAAAGACCGACTCTGCATATAACAGACGAGTGGGGGAAAACTCAGCTGATATTATATATACCGACCTTTCCCACGCTTTTCACACGAGACCAAAAAACAAAATATTATACGAACGAAACAATCGAATAAAGAAACAACACGTGCATTTATAAATCCATACACTGAACAGAAAAAAAAATGTATAAGGAAGGGGAGAGGGAATTTTTTTTTTTTTGCACAATTCCCATCAGCAGAAAGCAGAGACGCCGGAATCCTGAATTTCCCTGCTGCTGCTGATGGCGTGAGGGTGTGTCTCACATTATCCTGCTGCTGTTTGAGCAGCGATAATATATATAGGCAAGAAAATCGACACGCGAAACCAAGTCAGTCTCTTTTTTTTTTTTTGCTTCTGAGACGTTTGTTTTTTTTTGTTAAATCACTGATGAATAACGATAATACTGGTGCTGCTGCTGCTGATGGTGGTGAGTATATTTTCATGCCTGCGCTGATCGACTCGGCAGCGGGGTTTCTTGCTATTGCGCAAATATTTGACGCGCGGCGCTGACGTGGGAAATCGCACGCATGAAGCATGTCCGATCGAGGGACTGGCCCAAAAAAAAATAGCATTTTATTTTTATTTAGTCCTTTTTTTCTGGAATTCATCAAAAGGCATGATCTTACTCACGAATCTGTCATATATATATATACACGATTTTTCGTCTGATTGATGTCTGTGAGTGCTGCTGATTGAGAAGGAAAAGAAAAAAACTTTGATACGCATTGGAAAAATATATAAATCTGCTCTGAAATTGGTATTTTTCTATATATATATATACACGATTTTTCGTCTGATTGATGTCTGTGAGTGCTGCTGATTGAGAAGGAAAAGAAAAAAACTTTGATACGCATTGGAAAAATATATAAATCTGCTCTGAAATTGGTATTTTCTTTTCGTTTGCTTGAATTTATGGAATGGCATGATCTTGAACTCACGAATGTGTCTGTATAAACTACATTTCTTCTGATTGATGTCATTGATGTCTTCTGTGTTGCTGATTGAGAGAAAAATAATTGAGACGCTCGGAGAAGGAAAAATTCTGGAACATTTTCATTTTATTGATTTTTTATTTTTGCATTTTTATCAAATGGCATGATTTCACTCGATATTGGGTGGATATTACATGACGCTTTTTCTGATTCATGTCCATGAATGATCTTATTGAGGAATAAAACTTTTGAGATGCTTTTGAGAACAAAATCTGCTGCGGAAATCTTATTTTATTTCAATTTTGAATTCACCAAATGGTATGATCTTGCTCATTATACTTCACTGAAGTAGAATTCCATTAAAATAAATATTGTTGAACAATTTTTCATGACAATGAATGTTTCTCTTGGTCCCAACAGTTTCTTCATATAAATCAGAGCACTATTCAGAGCACTATTTTAAAAACATCTTGTCTCAACAAATTCATTTTGGCTGCAATCTCACTACAGTATATAAAAAATGTTGGCTCAATTCTGCGCATAAGCCATTAATGAACTATTTAATAAATGGCAAAAAAGATGAAACATTGAAAAGTTGCAGCATTAAGTTCATCAGAGAAGCAAAAATCTATGTAACATGAAAACAATTTTGTGTTAAAAGATATGTTGAAAAAAATGTCAAACATTTTCCCAAAATTTTTCAAATTGAATTATATTTGAAAGAACAGACAAGCATGTATGAAGCATATTTAGAAGGAAGTACAAGTGCAGCATTTCTACCATCCATAAATTTTTTTTCATTTTCATTTCCAAAAATATGACACACTAGTAGACATTTGGGTTTGAAATGGAAGGAAATTATATTTTCTTCAAAATTTGTGACCCATTTCTTCGGAAATACTCAATAATTATGTTTAGTCTTGAATTACTGTATTTACTTGAGTACCACGCACCCTTGAGTAAGGCGCGCACAGGGGTTTTTCAGTTGGAAATTTGGCTAAAATCTTATACCTGAGTGAGATGCGCACCCAAATTTTTAGTAAATCTAAAACTACAAAATTTTGAGAATAAATTCAAAATATTTGACTTCAGACATGAATTGAACAAAAATCACATCAATTTTCAGCTTTTTCAGTACAAAAAAGTTTTCTTGTTACACTTGTTAAAAATTTCTCCATTATAATCAAGTATAATGCACACATAACTTACTAAAACTTCTTGAAAATTTTGTACCTGCTTATGACACTCACCCCTCTTTTTCTTCTGAAATTTGAAAAAAGGTGCATGTGGTACTCAACTAAATACAGTACCTATATTTTGGAAGCACTGTTGAAAATTTAATATCCCTTTTGCACATTATTGCAGTCTGAAATATCCTCAGAACCATGAATCTTGATACAATGAATTTTTAAGTACTGTATAACAAACTTTCCATCAGGTCTCTGCTGGGAGTTTGTTGCAATGCGATTTTACTGCACAGCATTGTGTCCACACAATATTTATTCTGACTTAAGTCAATGTTGAGGGTTGATCAAAAGGAAAACTTTGAGTTGCATTATTGGATTGCAAAACCTACCATAAAAATTTTTTTATGCATTGAATGGCAAGATCTGAACCATTATTGCATATTATAAGCAATGTTCTTCTTCTTTCTTTTTTCTTTGCTGCCAATTGAAAATGAATACAATGGAATATGAAGATAATATATGCCACTTCAATGAGTAATACAGGCCACCTTGCAATTCAACCCTAATCCATTGTCAGACTAGGGGTCAAATTGTGAAGTGGTCAAATTGCAAGACATTTTGTAAACTTGAGAAATATTAGCACAAGAATGCAAAAAAAAGCCAAAGCAGGTCAAATTCTGGGGCAGAGGTCAAATTGCAAGTCAAGCGGGATGGTCAAATTGTGGGATGTCAAATTGCACTGTACATCCGGTATTATATTTTCTTTGGATGCAGTTAACAGCATTTGAGCAGATAACAAATTGCCTTCTCAAGTGAACATGTTTGAATCCCATTTAAATGATCCCAGTGTTCTTATATATTGCCCTTCTTTTATTTGAAGGAAAACCTCATCATGGATTAATTGTCTCAAAGTATGAATGGTGTTGAAGAAATGTTGATGCTTTCTATATCAATCTTTGATCCCTCTGTTATTAATAATCTCATTTTCCTACAGGGGCGAAAGTCTCACATAGCTGTGGGAACCGAAACGTGGGAATTCAACTTCGCCGGGGCTTCTTTATTTGGTGTGAGGACTTTTCCTTCCATTCCTCACAATTTCCAAAGGGAAACAAATCAATTATAAATGCAGAAACCAAGATCGCATATCCTTCAGTCAATCATCTGAATATTCTCTACTAATCCGGATACATTTTTTAGCAACAGGAACTGATCACCATTATTCTGAAAGATCATTTTCAGCGTCCACAATTGGTAACAATTATATTTCACCTGTTAAACAATTAATCATGATCAAGCATAAAAATAAATTTCACCAGAAAGACCTTATTTAGGGTTATACATTTTCAAAAATAAAAAAATTTCGTGCGTATGACTGAAAAGCCTCGTATCGATCCATTTTTGCCTCATTTCCGGCGATAAGCAAGAAAACTATACATAACATATTATTTCTTTGATCAGCACGGGAAGTCGACGGAAGGTTATTCGATTATTTATGCGGTTGATGAATTTTCCGATTTGATTTGCGTCGATTCCCATACCGATTGATTGAATGGTGGATTTGGTTATTTTTAGAATATTCCGTGATTCATTTCTTCACAAGCACCTGATGGCATTGAATGCCATGATTCAGAAATACAATATTTGAATAAAATTCTCGGAAATTATTTTCCTTCCTGATGAAGATGCTCTTTCTACTATTCGGAAAAAATTCGAATTTTAATGCAAATATTTCTCTGTGTAAAATTAAAATGCAATAGCAAACATTTTATACAGCAGTGTATAGAGAGAAAAACAGACCAAGAGAGAAAATTTCAGACTATCAAGACCATATTTTCTCCAAATTAGTTCAATACTCTCTGAAACGCCAGCCTTTATTTTTTTCGGCCAAATTATTTTTCAGCATCTAAAATCACTCCAATTTTTCTGTTCCCTTTTTGTTTTTGGACTTCAGTTGAATGTTTTTGAAAAATAATGCAGATTAATTTCTATAATTTCATCAACAAACAATTCAGTCATGCAGTAATGCACGTAAAAGTTGAACTATATCATTAAATATGCAGCACCAAGTTTGTTGAGGAAAAAAGACATTTATTGGAAGTCTGGGATGCCTTTAACTTGATGATAGACAATTAGAACGGTTTCAACCATCCAAAAAATGTATGCATTTTGTAATGTAAAATTTTTTCACATATATTTTGTTTCCAATGTCAGGGAATGAATGGGTGCACGCATACATGTCAGATGTCTAGTTGTATTTCATGGATTGTATTTTCTTTTATTTTTGTTATCAATTTGTGCTCTGTTTCCTGCTCTGAAGTGATTAAATGTCATTGAGCGGATTCGGGTTGGGTGGGAAGGGGGTTTGGTTGTGGAAATATTGATTGAACCTTTTGAACGCTGAAAAGTGACAAATACATTTTTCTGTTCATTCATTCATTCATGTAATGTGCAGTACTGTATAACATTTCTTGTGCCTTAATGTGGCCCTTGGTCACTTCTGAATTCAGCACCACTGTTGTACTGTAGAGTATAGTTTGAGTATTATTGCTCATGTCAGTGTAGAACATGTTCTATTTTGGGACTTGACAAAGTTGAGGTCACTTCCACGTCAACAAAAATCAATGAAATCATTCTTTGTGTTCCCAATGATTTAAAAAAATTCACTTCTTCCATCATCATTAGAACTACGCTATACTGCGCGTTCCCAAGAAACCACTGCAAATAACCACATGTTTTCGCCTCGTTTCAACACAACTCCTCAGAAAGAAAAAAAATGCATCAGTATAAGAAAAGAATCTGAGCTTTCTCATTCCAAGGCTTTTGCGCAAACAACTGATGGGCAATCGTTGGAATGGAAACCACTTCAGGAGCTGAGAAACGCATATATATATGTAAGCAATAGCAGTGATGGAATTTTTTCAGCATTTTCGCATTTTCCTCTTGGTTTTCATCGCAAGTGTAATTATTGCACACAGTGTCGCCAAAAGAGAATACGGAATCGACTTCAGTAGGACACAAGAGTCCCAAGAATTCATGTCTCTTCATGTCATGAAGAAACGAGAAGTTCTCAAAATAATCAGGATCCCTGTGATGAGAAGTATACCTACCAATAATAACACTTAATACAGTAAAATCTCACTAAAAATTTTTCAGTGTAATATACATTTTTGCAAGTTATTAAACCCAGCGATGAAAAGTACTCATCATTGATCACACACAATGCAGTAAAATCACATCACAAAAAATATTGTTGCAAGATATTTTTCAGACCATCAAACTTTTTCTCCAGTCCCAGCAGAAAGTCCATGTTGAAAGCATCTTATTGTTGAAGCAAATTCCCCAATTCCAGCACAAGTGGAACCTTGAAACTTGACATCCCACAATTTCCCCACCCTTCAATTCAATGCTTGAATTTGCTTGGACATTGACTTGCATTTTGAACTCCTGCCCCAGAATTTGACCTGCTGAGAGACTCAAAATTTCAAATTTGATGTAAAACCCAAATAATTTGGCATTGTCTCACCATTCAACTGCTTCACAATTCAACCATTACTCAGCAACAGATTAGGGTCGAATTGTCGGGCACCACCTGCACAAAAAACTGATGTGAGGAATGTTGGAAATATTCTGTTCATAATTTTACTGGCTAACGGAGGTACAAGCTGAAGTGTCTGATTCCAAATGTGACTGACTGGTTTCTGTAGCTTACATGAAAACTGCAATAAATGACAAGCATGCTTTTCAAGTGGTTTAACACACTATCCTCCTAGAATGAAGAGATTGGTACAACTGATGGAATGCGCAATTGAAACCAAAATTCTTGAGAATATCAGAATATCATTATGTTTTTCAGCAAAAACCTCAGAGAAGGCAACAAATGGAGGATCTAAACATTTTTAAACAGGTCTGATGTTAGACTGTTTTTCAGTCATCAATAGGAAAAAACCTTTATAACAAAATTATTTGCTTTCACTTGAGTGCCACATGCACATTTCTTCCTGGAAAAGCAAAGCAGAAAAGTGGGGTGAGTGTGGCATGTGGGTATAATTTTTTCCATAACAAGGAAGAATGGTGTAATCAATTTGGTATGTCAATATCAGAACTCATAAGTTATATAGTCTCAGGTGAAAAAATGATGAAGAATTATTTTTTGAACTACAGTGGCCCCCCGCCTAACAGACCTCCCGTGTAAGGGATTTTTGCCAANTATAGTCTCAGGTGAAAAAATGATGAAGAATTATTTTTTGAACTACAGTGGCCCCCCGCCTAACAGACCTCCCGTGTAAGGGATTTTTGCCAAACAGACCAGCTCTGCAAACAGTTTTTCCTCCCGCCCAACAGACAAAATCCGCCAAACAGACTTCTTTCGGTTTAAAATTAGTGTTGAAAATTGAAAATTTTAATTTTTTATGTAATTGAATTTGTGCAAAGGACTTTTCGTCCAACAGTCTTGTCCCTTGCACAAATCAGGTCCATTAGACAGGGGCTGACTGTAGTTCTGATGTAAATCCTTGATGCTCTGTGATGCATCCATATGGTTCTTCTGTTGCACAATATTCTTTGGCAAATTAATTTTCAATTTTCAGCCAACAAAAACTCGCGTACCGGCCTCAAACAGAGATAGTATATTGTGCAAAAATTTAGGTGAAAAAAATTTGGTGCAAGCCTTACTCAAGAGCATATGGTACTTGAGTAAATATGGTATTCAGCATAATAAAAAACTTTTTCTGAAGTCCATAAAAAGTTTGGTGATGAGATTTTACTGCTTGTACATTGTCCAATGCTCATCATCCCATGCTGATTTCCTCCAAGTTGGGTTTCTTCCTTTTTTTTTTACAGGAAAAGCATCATCAGGACAAGAAGATGACAGATTTTTCCGGAAGCCAAACAGCAAAAAAGACAGAATCGTCGTGGACCTGAAAAATTTCCTTTCGAGAAGATTCGCCAATTCAAAGAAAGCTCCTGACATACGAGTGCAGGTCGGGAGTCATTCATCCGCTGACAATGAGGACAGAGAATTGGCGAAAAAGTTGAATGTCTGGCTCAGGAAATTCCTGTTGCATTCGGTGAACGATAGAGTGATGGACCGGAAATTCGCGGATATTCACGATTTCAGCATCAAACCGGAACGAAAGCACGTGGCTATTGACTCACAGTTTCGATTCCCCCGGAATTTCGTCGGCAGATGTCCAGGAAGTGCTGCTTTTCTGATCTGAAGAACAAGAAAGCATAACAGAATTCCCGCGAGAAATACTGTACACTGTCCACGTCTTTTTAATTGAATCAATTCCAAAGAACAACATCACATTACTTTGAACAGGTGAGATAATGCGCTGCATTTCATATTCAAACATCATTACTCGTCAATACAGCTTCCGGCGGTTATCGAAAAAGACACAATCGTTCATCATCAGAAAAGCTTGATTCCTTTTATGTACAGTGAACACAGAAAATGTGGACACCCCAATTTACATTCCACTCAGGGACACAAAAACCTCAAAAAAGCTGATCCAACGTCTTGAAAATTGCTGAAGAGTAAAAATGATAGGGGCACTTAACTGACATTTTTCAGATAGATCTAAAATAAATATGAATTTGATGTCTTTCAAGTAACTTGAGCTTTTATATTCACAAAAATCTATTTCACTAAAATGTAATCTAACTCACGATAGATGAACTGGCTGAGTTTGTGCTTCTGTTTCTTACAGTACTTTCTTTTTTCTGTGCATATTACATCAAGACATATTCTGGTTCTTTGCTTTTTGAGCTCCTTTTGATGCAAAAAGATCTCATTCTTTGGGATATTCTGCGCAGCCGTTTTCTGTACCTTGCAGAGGAGGGAAACAAGTTTTATTCAATTTTTCAAGGACTTATTCTTAACTTTTGATAAACAGGATGAGAATCTATGAAATGTATTAGCATTGAATTATTCGGGAAAAACAGGAACCAAACATATTTGGGAAAGAGTCCAAGCATCTTGGGGTCCCATTGAATTTTAATTGGACAACTGATTTCTTACTGCACAGTATCATTGACTGTGTTATCACATGAAACAAAATATGCATTGGGTAGGGCATGATGGAATTTCAAAAGTTATTTACTTTCAATGCAGATGCAGCAAGAACATCAGCATTTCAATATTCTTTAGCAAAACGCTTGTTTGATAATTCCTGCATCAGATACAGTATTAAGTCACCCATCAGGATGCATCCAAATATGCAATGTTGAGGTTTTATATATTCGCATATAATAATGACATTCCTAAAAATGTTCGGCATTTATTACATTAGAATAATCTTACATGCAATAAGAATATGTTGGTGCAGAAAAAGCTGGGACCAGATAAATATATGCAATAGCTTTGTTGGAATGAAAAATTCATTTTAAAGTAGCTAATTGAACATTGTGACAACTGTACAGGGACTAAAAATTGATTGCATTTTAATCATATATAATTAGTAAAACAATAAGTTTCCTTGCACTGCAATTCAAATGTGGTATATTTCATGGTAACTGAATGGTAAACCTCAAGTTTAAAATTTGAAAAGTTGATCAAGACTGTTGTAAGCAGCAGAAAATTTTGTACAGAAAAACTTCCTCCTTCTGAACAGTGAAACCTGAGCCATTTTTGCCTATGCAGCAGAAAAACAGTATAATACAGTAAAATTTCATTACAACAAACCATCAGGATCAGTAAAAGAGCTGTTTCACGAACTTAAAATGGTCATTTCTTATAAATAAATTGAAATAACATTGTTGCAATTGCATGAGGAATCTAAAAGTTTGTCCCACAGTAACATTCAAAAATACCTCGGTCTTCATCTCTTCAATATACGCAGCAGACTCTTATCCCCAGGGTCATGAAAATTCAGCACTCTCAATTTCGACCGAGAATTTCAGAAATATCGAGCTAGTAAAACTTGAATTTTTTTAGAAGACCAATACAGTACAAACAAATCTCGACCGTCTAACACCGAAAAATTCTTTCCTATATACATGCTTGGATACAATGATCAACAGCACCGTTTGACGATCATCGAAAGCGAGGCACACGATTCGAGACCGTCGATGAACACATTTATTGTTATCATCATGAATGAATACCCATTTTATAAGGGCAGAATAAGACAAATATATGCTACAAAGTTTTGAAAAGATTTCGATGAAATCCCGTCCATAGAGGACTTTCAAATCATAGAAAACTTGAGGATACGAATATCAGAGTCACAGGAGCAGTAGGTCTACTGATGACCTCAGATTTCAAATTTTTAGAAAAATTCACGATGGAATATTTACAAATTCCGGCATCATTTCGATGAGAACCTCATCTTGATTAAATTCAAAATTCACTTAGATAGGGAAGTCTTGTAAGCTTCAATCCCTCCTCTGGTCATTTGATTGACATCGATAATCTTCAAGATCTTGGGGTTAGTTGCCTGAAGCTGAGCCTGGGCCAAGGCATACGCATCCGGAGCAGCTCCACCCATCCTGAACGCCTTGGGGTATTGAATGGGCCTGGGAAACCCCTTCAGCACAACACCGGGATCCGCGTAATAAAGCCGTCTCCAAACTTCCTGCTCCACTTGTTGTTGCGATTGCTGCTGATTGGACGTGATCACGGGGATCTGCTGGAAGAATATCCGGTCCGGAGATCCGCTGCGTCGTTGCCATTGGCGAAATTGGTATTCTTCTGGGTTGAAATCCAGGTTTTGCAAGGAGCACCTGTACTGGCTGCTCTGTGTGGGTGAGTGGGCTCTGTGTCGGTGTCCGGAAGAAGCATGGCGGCTGTCTGGCGACTCATCTCGCTCCGAGTGCGTGCCTGGGAGACTACGCGAGCTCCGATGTCGCCTTCGGTGTCGCCGATGAGGTTTTAATTGATCTTCCAGTGTAACAGATTTTGTATCGTCGTGCTCAGTCGTCGCTCCGATGGAAGAACTACCGGCGACGGAGCCGGTTTCGGATCTTCGAACAAATGCATTGTCATTTCAGCTTCCATGCGGAAAATCGGATACGATGCCCTATTCATTGGTAAATCTAAATCACTGAAGACCTAAAAATGCTGAACAGAACAAAATGAAATTTTTCCGCAAATTTTGTGCTTGAAAAACGCAGTATCTACACTTGCAGCAAGTTAGTTTACAAGTACGGTACTTGTTCACACTAATTCCTGTAAGAAAATGGCTATCGTTATCGTACGAATAGGAATACGAAATTCTAGATTCGGAAGTGTTCAGCAACTGTTGAGCGCTAAAAGACGACTAACACGAGTGTTACATGCGACACATACTGAAAACTGAAGGCAGCAGTCTTCTGCGAATTCCCGCTTGGCACTTTTCCATATTAAAATAATTGCTTCTGACGTTTCTCGCCATGTATTGCTCCTATTGCATATAATTCTAGATGACCAAGAAACAGGTTTATTCGTCATGTTACATTCGTGGAATCAGGCTCACGTCTCCGTCGAAAAATACTTAGCTGCTGTGTTCACATGCGCATGCATGACGTTACTTTATTTTTTCTTACGAAGAATCGCGGTGGAATATGCGATTTTAAGCAGCGTAATGTCCTCACTTATTGTCGTGATCAAGAGTTCCGCGATCAACCGAACGGTTCCGTCCGCCGGAACCAATGCTGTACTTCTTCTTCGTGCTTTCTTCCCCGGGTTCTCCAGAGACTCCAGTTACTGTTCTGCGCGGTGGAACACTACTGGAAGCACCGACGCCGCGATTTTTGCCCTTGTCACTTGCCGAAGGAAGCCCAGTGTACACATTTTGCGGAATGATGCCCATGAACTTGTAATATTCCAAAAAGGCTCTGGCTATGTTCCGACCCAGCCGCATATCTAATGGTTCCCGATTAATCAAGGATTAAATCCGATTTCCAGTTTAATTGACGTCATTTTAACGCGTCATACGTGTTTTAAATAGATATTCTTCGTTTTCCGAAAGCCTGGTTTTTGGAGGCATTAATTCAACATCATTTGCAGAACATACTGTTCATAATCATGATATGAAAAAGGATACAAGCTTCTTCCGTGTATGGAATGACATTCGGGTTCCCTTCGAGTTGGTAGCCATAAACGGAGACTTCCAAACTGTAGCAGTTCACAGTGTCTTTCAAATTTTCGCAGAAGAATCTGAGCGGAAACAAAATTGCGCACTTCAAGAAATTCGGTTCGGAAAAACCATGAACTCATCACCTTCTTGCTGAATTTGATTTGCACGTGTCTCGATTGTAAACACAGTTGTTGGGGTTGTAATCATCAGCTACTTGGCTCATCATTTTCGGGAAAACGATGTGTCTTTCGTACCTTTAACGAATGAAATGTTCATCAAAACTTATTCTCCGTGGAGTGATTCAAATCAGGTGTACCTGTAAACGTCGTCATAAATATTCCCGTAGATGAAAGTACCGAGCAGGGAAGTATGAGCGTGTAAATCCAGAATGAAATCTAAGTCGACGCTCTGAAAATTGTGGGCAATTTTCAAAATTTTGCAAGACTTATTAAAAACTGCAGTACCTTATCTTCGTCCAATTCCGTTATCAACTTCTTTGCTGCGAATACGGTCGGATGACCCCACAAAGAAGGTTCTGGCCAATGTCGATTCAAATCAACCCCCATGACACTTGTTCTGTCAAAAAGTAATTTCATTGATTATTTTTCCAAATGAAGATGACAATTTTACCAACCTGTAGTTTCCCAGAAAAACTCCATCGGGATTCAGCATTGGAATGATCTTGAAATTAACATGTTCTCGCAACAATTGCCCGATTGGATGTGTGCTGATCAGCAAGTCGATTAATCCTGGGGGGAAATAAAAAGCAGCCAAAAACAAAATTGGTTCAACTTGGCTGTACAGGAAATTAATGTACAGATGATTCAACTTAGGGATACATGCAACTCAAAAAATCTTTTCCAACATCTTTACCATTTCTCAATACAGAGTGCAGCACAGTGAGACCCCCACAAGCAGACAATTTGACATAGGGACATTTATTTTTCAATAAACACTGACACTGACGCAACATGATGACATTGCAAAAATTGCCAATAAATTTCACAAAAATTGACTTTCATCATGCTTGATAGCAAGAAACAGATATTTCAACCCCAAAATTCATGCAAGAGAAATTCTTTGTCATATCTACCGTCATTTTCCCATCCATTCAGCTAATTTAAAAAAATTACTCATTGCATAGAGGGACTTCCTTCTCTCTTTGTGACTTGAATTTTATTTTTGCAGATTTGAACATTTCAATGTACTGTAAAGATGTACACTATTCAATGCTCCAAATGTTATTGAGTTGAAACTATATTAAGTGGATCAAATTCAAGTGGCAAACAATTATTTTCATGGAATTTTGAAGAATAATTCTTCCATAAAACACCAATTAAAAATTATTTAACGCAAGTCTATGGGAAAACAAGACTTGACTTATGGGCAATTCAGCTAAGGGACACTCTGGATTCACCAATTACATCCACATCTGGGGGTCTCACTGTATACAGAAGTTTGTTCATACAAGACTGCTATAATGTGTAGCAAAGTATTATTTTTGCAATTTTAATAACACTTGAACAACATGATTGATTAATATTTTCAAAAATTCAAACTCTTTCCTGAATTTCTGATAAAAATTCAATTTTAATTTATTGTACAGAGCAGGCTAATTTTGTGCTTCTCTTTTGATTTAGTTTTTTCCATCATCTGTGCAAGTACATATAACAAGACAATTGCTAGTTCTGTTCTTTTTGGACTAATTTTCATGCCAGAGGAGTAGATTCTGTGTGGATTTCTTCTGAGAAAAATTGCTATTTCAAAATTTTGGCAAGGTCACCAAAATACTCTTGAGTTGCAAAGGCTCTAGGAACAATCTGGGAAGAGTGAATTCTATAGTCTTCAGGTATCTCAAATGTTAATCCTATATGAAAAAATTCCTCCCAATAATAAATTTATTCTTTCATCGAAAATTTGTTTCTTGAAGAGAAAGAGAAAGACACGTTTCCCAACTTAGGCCTTAAATAATCAAGAATTACCTTTTTTTTTACAGGATTCATGGGTTTACAATTTTGAAAAAATATCCTGACTTTCCCACAGATGGTTTAAATATGTTCCCACTCAAGGCTATGAAGAATATAATCCAACATGCAGATGTTCTGACATCGGAACAAGGTCCAAGCACCGATGACATCTGCATCTTGGGCTACTATCATTAGAAAAATACTAGACGAACATTTTTTTTCCCGGGTCCCCCTACAATTGCATGTGATGTTCTTTTCGAGGACTTAATTTGCTTGCAAAAATGGCGAAGGTATACCTTGGCATATGAAGGACGTTGGCGAATCTCCAGCGTGCGATCGTGATAATATAACAATTGTTCGCTGCTTTTTTGCTCCAGCACCAGATCCAGAAAAGTCTTTAGCCCCAGTCGTCACTGATATAGTAGCACTTGATGGATTCGCGGCTTCCTCAGGCTTCAGAGTTTGCTGTCCAGCGTTGTTGCCAATTGTAATCAAATCGCAGCACCTTTGTTGCTTTTTTTTCAAAAATATTCGTCAATAAACTTCTCTGCACAATCACTAAGAATAAATTCGAAGGATGCTCACAACACTTTGAGCCAGAAGCTCTCTATGGTAGAAGGAATAGTTCTTATAGTCCACTTGCTCCAAATACGACTGCAATCGCGAGTATGTGTACGGATAAGCAAATGCAAATTGGTACACGTCTTCTTCTTTGTCAAATGCGAAAGCAAACGACAAGACGTAGTGATTTCTGTGTTNGAAAAATACTAGACGAACATTTTTTTTCCCGGGTCCCCCTACAATTGCATGTGATGTTCTTTTCGAGGACTTAATTTGCTTGCAAAAATGGCGAAGGTATACCTTGGCATATGAAGGACGTTGGCGAATCTCCAGCGTGCGATCGTGATAATATAACAATTGTTCGCTGCTTTTTTGCTCCAGCACCAGATCCAGAAAAGTCTTTAGCCCCAGTCGTCACTGATATAGTAGCACTTGATGGATTCGCGGCTTCCTCAGGCTTCAGAGTTTGCTGTCCAGCGTTGTTGCCAATTGTAATCAAATCGCAGCACCTTTGTTGCTTTTTTTTCAAAAATATTCGTCAATAAACTTCTCTGCACAATCACGAAGAATAAATTCGAAGGATGCTCACAACACTTTGAGCCAGAAGCTCTCTATGGTAGAAGGAATAGTTCTTATAGTCCACTTGCTCCAAATACGACTGCAATCGCGAGTATGTGTACGGATAAGCAAATGCAAATTGGTACACGTCTTCTTCTTTGTCAAATGCGAAAGCAAACGACAAGACGTAGTGATTTCTGTGTTCCGGGGATTTGTGGTAGTACACGAAACGTGATGGAATCCGCTGCCTGAAACACGACAAGATTTTGCTCGATGCTTTGAGAAGCCAAGAAGAAACACTGTGGATCACACATGCAATTCAATCGCAGCGAATGCTTCTCTTTTTATGGTATCTCACACTGTAAATGAATGAAGGTTCAATATGAGTTGAAGTACCATTTTGGTCGAGAGGTGGACTTCACTAACGGTGTCATTCCATCCCGATAAACCAGCTTCGTCTTGCTGAAGTTGACAATGTTGAAGATAACCCGTTGATCAGCTCTGACATTGTCCACAACGAAGTTGAACCATACCCTGTACCTTGGGTTGCAGGTATCTGGTCTGATGAAAAGGTCATACTCATATTCTGTGATGAAATCCACTCTTCCGAGGTTGCCTGAAATGAGATCGAAGAGAAAAGTTCGAATCATCCATAGTTCATCATTACGATCACCTTTTCCTGGTCACTTGTAAATCATGCTGAAAAATATAGTTCTCGATTCTCGTCAACTGGCAGTTTACGATGCTCTAGAACTGCTTTTATCTTTAATTACATCTTGGCAGGTTTAATCAAAGGCACGTGTTATTCTGGAAGAATATATGAACACCTTGTCGCATTTGTTTTGTGTTAAGATCAGTTCTACCTCAAGCATATAAACATCAGGTTGAACGTTGGTTCAGCGGAATAATGCAAATATGTCGATATAATATAAATCGGCACACTTCTAGAACAAAGCATACAGATTGCTTGAATTGAGAATACAGTTAGTCTTCTCTTCGCAGCTCATTCAGACGAATCTGGTCAGCCAAAGCCTGCAGAAATGTACGAACTTCAATTTTCTTGCGTCGAGGTTATGCTTCGATCGCGTGATTTCTGGCGGAAAATCATACGAACCGCTTTCGAAGGAAGCATCGAAGCACAGGTGACCTCGTTTCGCCTTCCCTGAATGACCTGGGGGTCGCATGACCATGCGAATAACGTTTCCAAGACCTCCTTCTGCATCACTGTCGCTGCCAGAATCTGAAGAAGAAAAAAATTATAAACCCAGCGTCATCGGCGTCAAATCTGACGAAAATTATCAGATATCCATTATCAGATCGTTGCTTGTCATCATACAATAAGGTGCCCATCGGATAATAAATCAAGCTCTGTGGCAGATGGATAATGAAAGAAGGGTATTACACTAGCTCATACCTGAAAAGCTTCTATGCTAAAGTGGAACCTGTTTCCTGAATGATAATAAGTAATAATCCGATATAATCGCACGGCTTCCAATTCGGCGAATAACAAATCCAATGAAGCGTTCACTTCCGGAACGAGATGGAATTTCATGTTACAATCCTGCTCATCCAATAAATGTATAGTGAACAGACAAACTATCGTTTTTTTCAGCGCGTGAGTGGTGCGGTGTGGCCACAATCGCAGTTGCACTCCCTGTACGCGCTCGTGGTGTAGGCATGACTTTTGTTCTCAGGAACCAAATTGCTGCACAGGCGTGCTCTCATGAATCATTGGTTCAATATCACAGAGCGCAAGAGGTACCTCTTTGAGTTGTGATGGTGGATGAATCATGAGTAA